GACGCAAGGTCAACGTGCACTTTGACCATAAAAATTGGGTCGCGTTCGGGCATGCGACGGGGTTGCGATGGGGGGTTTGCTACGGGTCGCGAATAGTTTTTGTGACGTAGTAGTAGTAGTAGATGTCGAAGTAAGCAGCACCTACTAGGTATGGTAGTACTACTACATTTGTGCTTTCTCAATGCATCTGGTTTGACCATAGCTCTTTCCTTACTGACATAACCACCATGATCCATGTTTGGTTCAACAAAGTATGGTGGGATGACAAYGCATAAAAAGTGATCAGTGCACCAACAACAACAAGAACATGAAACAAGTTGTTCCCACCACCATTCTTGTTCTTGTTAGTAGTACTAATTTAAAGATGCCATCCTTAATTTTTCAGTACAAATTCTACAGAGCTCTACTGAGTGTTGCTCTCTAACATTTTTAGCATTGCATGATTCACCTTCTGAGAGAAAGAGGATTGGTTCTGGGCTACCAGAATACTACTAGTAGTTGCAAACTACATCAGTAGATTTTGTACTGTGTTCTACTGCACTAAGGATGGCATAATCAAATAAACGATGGGAACCTCTTTCTTAGTGTGGCGATCACTTTTTATGATATCTGTACGGTAGYACAGTCTAATTGACAAAAATTACATTCGCCGAAACTGAGCAGACATTTTTAGTTAAGTTATCATACAGGTTTGACCCATTTTTGATAGAATTATTTCATGCAGTATCGTGTTGTGATTGAGCAGTTGAGAAGGCAATTACAATCGAAATCATCATACTCAGCTAAGTGAAAGAGARCTTCAGACCCGTGCCATGAAATGGAGTGAATTCTTGTATTGAAATAATTAGGTTCCAAAAAATTTACATCAGGCTTATTTTTTTGAAAATGTTTTTTTTTCTTCCCACGTGATGGTGCAATTCCGGATCAGTTTCGAACAATGAAAAGCTGGAGCATTCTTTGACATACTTAAATCGAACCGAACCTTCCGAACAAGTTGGGTGGGTCTCGAATGATGTTCTCGAAATCAGTTAAACAATAGCCCGATAGAGATTCTCAAACCAAAGTTTAAAGTTCAAAAACCGTACGCAGGAATCGGTTTGCTTCAAGATAACTAGATAAATAATTTCAGGTCTGCACAACGACGACCATGGGTTCGTAATTTCGTATGCGTTGCGCGTTTTGCTTCGATCTCAGGTTCATATATGCAGAATGCGAATTCCATCGAAGTGCTGGAACGAAACAGCGGGCTGTAAGTTCCAGACTTTCAGTACTATCTAACGGTAGTCATWGCTATTTCTTTATCTAGCTTATATAACGTCCCCATTGAAGTAACCGGCCTTTGATAATCATTGTCAGGAATAAAAGTAGCATCGACCATTTGAGAAGAAAACTATTATCATCTTAAGAGTGTTTCACGGATAGACAATTTTTGAGTGGGACCTTTGTGTTGCTTCTTCATAAACCGAACCAAATAATCGAACAACGAGCACAAGCTACTGGTTTCTGTGGTAAGCCTTTTCGACTCAAGTCGTAACATAAAGTTTTCTTCTGACACAACAAAACGGAACAACAGGCGGGCTTGAACTTGTTGACATTGCATTGYATCATTCAGTTTGGATTTTGCGAAACAATCCATCACACGATAACACATTGTTCCTGACCTCCTTGACAGGAAATCATTTTTTGTTTTTCGCTTCCGATCGCAAATCCACAAACACTCAAGCCATGATATCCGAGTCGTTGCTGAACGATATCACCGACGTTGTTGATCTCTCTAAGAGCAAAAGGAACACAATTGCAGAGTATTCCTCAGCGCCGTGTTCCAGAAATGGGATGGTAGACCTCCTGCTCCCACGGAAGGAAAAGAGGCACACCAAACATGCTGGGGCAGATACAGACTCGAGTCGTCATTTGCACAACTTCCACCTTTCCGAGACACAACGTTGCTCTTCGGCAACCCAAAAAACGCAGGCAACAACCGATACTGATACAACCGACGACGACGATGATGACTATGGATATGACGAGGAAGAAAGATGGCTCCGCGAGAACAGAAATTACCACCAGCTGCAACGCGATTCAGAGCCAATTTTTAGGTCAACAGTTTTAAATAATGATGTGTCGACTTCGTCCATTCAGCCGTTGAGGGAACGGCGGCGCTCCTCGATGGGCAGAGAAACACCAACTGTTCCCCCTCTAGGATACGAAAACCAGGCAAATAATAGCCGCAGTTGCTGTATGCGGCTGCCCAAGAAGTTTCGGTTGTACGACCCCGATCTCTTTTAACGACAAAGATGGATCGCCAGTCACATTTTTGCTTGACGAATATTGAACTCGCTAACGATGGACTACTGTGCAGAAACAAACAAACAAACAAACAACTTCAAGATGTATCGGTATTTGACATGCCCTTGAAGCGATGGTCTCGAAATGCAACGGCACAGACTTTTACGGAATACATGTTATCGCGACTGGACAGACATTAGCTGCTTGTAGGAAGCAAACTAAAAGCGCATAGCGATAGTATTGTAAATTTTTCAACTAGTTCATCCTTTATTTACTCAAAAAGTCTATATTGAATCCATTGGTTATTTACCTATCGCATAGTCCTATGGTAGAGCGTTGTACGCAATATAGTCGCGGTCAACATCATTCAATAACCTTTGTCGGTGTACTACCAGATAATCAAAATTGCAAAAWTTTTTCTGTTTCATGGCACGTCGAAACAAAAMATGCAAGCCAACAGGGTGAAAAAACTTAAGACTGGAGATTTCCAGAAATGGTTCCGTCCAATTGTAGTGTCAGTAATAATAGCAATGTAATAAAAGCTTGAAACCAACAATTTCTGTAGTGTCATCTCAAATTATCAAAAGGGACTGTTGGGCTGCCTATGTAGCGTTTCTTTCATCATTGATAACGTATGAACCCATCGACACACATAGTTACTGTATCACTATCGCAGAAGCCGAATAGGCATATCAATTATTTCAATATGGCATACTTRAGAAAACAATGAAAATATAGACTTTTTCCCAAACAGTGGATTGACGTGACCCCTTCCTACTCAACAGATAGTATTTTGTATCGTACGTCCTATTCATTTTTCTCTTTTCTTTCCTGGCAACGAAAGAGCGAAATCGATCCTCGCCTGGCCGTAGCTACGGTACAATTATGATCTTCAATTAAGTTTTTCCCGTCTCCGCCCAAATCGTGCATTTTTGGAATTTTTTGGGGAGTTTTTAATGATTTTCACCTGTGTAGATTGCAGTACAAATCCTACACAAAATAAGACTGAATACCAAAAAAAGTTTTAAACAATTACTTTGTATAAAACACCTTTTCTGCTCATTCATTTCTCTCCTCATAATATACAACCAATAAAATATAAAACACTCCAAACCAGAATATAAAATATCACCCAAACCATCATATTTACGAGGAACATAAAATAATCATATCACCATAATGGATGATGATGATTCTTTTTCTGATGGTTGACAATTGTTCATACTACTAGTACTACTATGGTCATACTACTACTAGTGATGCAGACCTATCTGACAACAGTGGTAGTGGCCTGCACCCTCACAGTAGGAGCCACTCCCAAGATGACCATTAACCCACCATATCTGATCATCAAAAAGTATGCTGGGTGTCCCTTGAATCCATCCAAGTCCAACAAGCTTCTAGTAGTAGTAGTAGGCGGGAGATCTACGTCTCTCAACTGTCTATAAACATGTCACAGGTGAAGAGCTTACAAATGCACATAATTCTTTGGAAGATTATAAAGCCAAGGCAAAAAGAATAGCCTGTGATGACTTTTCAAAGTACAAGGATATGAAGCAATCAATTTTGACAATTGAGAGTAGTAGTACTATCTGGTCAGTGAAGGAGCAGAACCAGTTGGTGAGGCAGGAGGAGGAATTGACAGTAATACAAAATGAAGCTTGAAAGCTGGGTGATGATGCAGAGGAATGGTATCCTCCTCCCAATGCCAAGTATACATCATCTGGAGGAGGTGTAACCCCAGGTCCCACCTGTGCTATAAGCAATTCATTGGATGACTGCACTAATAAGGTGGAGGGGTTGGCACATTTGTTGTTCTTGTTCTTGTTTGATGAAAAAATCCTTCAGATGATAGCAAACAAGTCCAACCAGTATGTGTTTGACAATTGGATGACAGGAGGTGAAGCTACTGATGCTAATGGAAGGGTACTAGTAGTAAAGAAGACAAAGATTCTCAAGCTCTGTGATGTCACCAATCCCAACAAACAAAAGCATGTTCTACATCCAGTCAAAGACCCATGGAACTTCACTTCTGGTTACATCCTTGCCTGGCTTGGYATTTGCATCTGCTATGGAGGTTTGGGTGGTTCAAAACAATCTCCCCAAATTCTTTGGACTTGTTGTCTTGAGGATGGTGGTGTGTATGTTCTTCCCATGGTCAAAAATACAATGAGCAAGAATGGATGCAGCTTTGTTAGATGATATATTCATTTTGGTGAAAACAGAAGCCAAGCTAATCATACTGAGGACCCACTCTACAAAATCTGGACAAGATAGTTCTGCACAACGCAAGGAAATGTATTTATCATGACACCAGTACCAGTGATAAGAACTGATATTACTTATTTTTTGTTTTGACATTTAGGTCTAAGTATGTGCGTACTATTCAGTAGGACAAAGAAATTTGAATCACTATTTTTCAGAAGGGTTGCACAAAACATCAAAGATTTGATGGAATACCAAAAAGCAAAGAACAATAGTATTACTACTAGGCTACTAGTGCCAGTGCAGATAGGAGTACTGGCTTATACAAGGTTTCATTAGTACAGATAGGAGTACTACTTACTTATACAAGGTTCACAGTTTCTATGCAGAGACAAGGGTGGTCCTCCCATGTTTAGGATATGTTGTACTACTAGGAAAAATATCATTCTTCCTTGATAATATCATTCTTCCTTGATAAAAGTTTACAATCATTTTTTCCCTTCAAATTTTGATTGTTCTGCCCTGTAATTTCAGTGCAGTAATTTTTATCTCAAAAGCAATCATCTAAAAATTTCCCTCACAACATTACTATGACAGTGTGATCAATTTGATCATCAAACCAAGCGATTGCTATGGATCTCCCCCCAAGGATCTAAACAATCCCTACCCACCACAGAAAGTACTCGATCCCTATCCCCAGCTCAAAAAACCAAACCTCTCCAATGACTCCTCCATTAAACTRCATTGAGCCTCTGGCAATTGCAATTGGTGGGCTGTCTGTGCTTGTTTTCTTTTTCTTGATGCTCAGTCTTGATGAACCCCCCAACAGAAGGAACCATGCTCTGATTGAGACAGAATATGAAGACTCACAAGCCCCCAACAGAAAGTGGAAGGCAGGACTAGTAGCCTCTTCCCAACAAAATTGAAGACTTCAATAACCTTTCCCCTTACTCTTTGTTCTTCGGTACCCGTCGTCTTGGCTGATGAAGTAGTACCATTTGGCCCCACCAAAGTAGTGAAACTGATTCTATGACTGGATTGTCGACAGGACGGACGACAAGTGGACACCCAAAAAAATTGTTTGGTATGGTTATGCTGATAATTGAACAACGTATTTCGTAATAGTATTATTGGTACAACTGAGCTAGGACGGGGCAACCCCGGGGCACGGATGCGCAGCACTAACCATGTGTTCGAATGGACGATTTGTTCGTTCCGGATAAATCAAAATGAATGGATTGGATTAAAAACGCAATCCTGGCTTCCTCGCTGTAATCATGATGATAATATTGCATTAGTCCTCGTGCTCGATTGCGTGATGACAAGAGATAGGCAACGGACAAGAATATTTATCATGCCAGAGTTCATTGCCAACTTCTATCGGTTGCTCTGGTTGCCCCAAGCACAAAAAAGCATCGCTGTCGTTCGATGGCGAAAGAAACGCCACTCTGGCAGGATGCATTCACGCGAGAACACACGGTGCCAACGATTGGATCGGTCGCGCACGCAACGCCCACYCATCGGTCGCCCGCCTAGCAAAACTCGCCGTTTCGGACCGCCAGCGGATGGAGATTCTTGAGGTTGATTCCGGTGTTGGTGCGAACGCTGAGCGGCAGTTTTCTGTACGCCTCGCGCCTTTTCTGGTAGCTCTTCTGGAGGGCCGCCTGTGACTTTCGAAAGGAACGAGCGTTTGCGTTCGCGTTCGCGTTCTCGACATTATTGTCATCGTCTCTGTTGTCATTCCTGGAGGGAAGCGAGGGCACGGAGGCTTGTTCTTCGAGGATGCTGTTGCTGGTGGCAGTCGACTTCGATGTGAAGTCGACGGTGTTGTCGAGGCGATGATGCATGGCGATGGTTTTGATGTTGCCATAAACGTTCGGTCGGTCGAATCTTTCTTCGAGTGAGGCCGCGGTGGTTACCGTCGTGGGTGTGTCCGGATAATGGAAAAGTTTCTTCGTAGCCATGATTTCTCAATGAAATGATTGCGCAAGATTTGTCAACCGTTCTTTCGTATGGTTCTTGATGATAGATGAATCCCTTTCCTCGCTCGCCGAAACCTGTTGTGTGCGTTGTTTCAAAAGTTTACAAGCAACGGTCGGTTGGTGGTTGTTGCAATTGATGTATTGTATGTTTCTAGTTCGCCGATAGTTGGTGGTTGGTTGGAAATTGGTTTGTTGGGCGGTATGTAAGTTGTTCTGTTTCTAGCTCAACACGAACACGAAACATCGGTAGATTTTCTGCAAGATGAGATGTGCTGATGCCGGTACGAGTACAGAAGATTACGAAATTGTATCGTACCGGTTTGGCCCGAATCCGAGATTCGATTTTTTGGCATCGCCGTTGAAATCACGCATCCTGTCTATGTAAAGAAAACGTCTTCGAGCGCGCAAGCTGGAATCTTTCCGTTCATATTGCAATAGTATCAGGGACAAGAACAGGCACGCTTATTGGCTACAACTGATATCAAATTAAAAATTCTGACCAATGAAATAACTCACGATCATAAATTTTTGTGGGGCAATAATATAGGCCGCCTTTCAAACATTCTTTCCGGGATCTTTCAAAAATACTTGTGCATTCTTAMCGGGAACCAAAAATAACGATGAGAGGCAGATACGTACGTACTCGTACTTCGTACAAGATACAACCATACCGGTAGCATAGTGCCGAATCATGTCGTACGGTAGTACCGTACTTACTCTACGTACGGTACAAAGTAAAACCACACAGTCCAATAGGACATATTTCGTTAAGTACGTTCGGTACCGTAGTAGAAGCAGAAGTACGTAATCGATCACTCAAACGAACAAGGAAACAGGCAAAGGATATCGTATCGAATCGTATCGTATCGTACCATGCCGCTTCTTCGCGCCACCGTTTCCTCCGGCCCGGAAGTTCTCGCCAGGTTCAACTCCGACGGAACCCCCGTGTCGTGGTTCGAGGCGAACTGGCCCTTTGCAACCTGGGCGATCTTTCTCTTTGGATCCGGGGTGCTTGCGGCCAACTGGAAGAAGCGGGATCAGTACTGGTATGGATGGCTGGTGATGGTGGTATACTGCCTCCACCAATCGGAGGAACACGCGTACGATGCCAGGGGCTGGCGATATTCCTTCGTCCCGTCCTTCAACGCGGGGCCCGTCTCGAAGATCTTCCAGGACGTTTGTTCCGAGCGGGTGGCTGCTTCCCTGGAGCAACAAAAGGGCGACCAACTGCAGCCTCTCGGGTGCCCGCTCGATCCCAAAATCACGCTCTGGATCAACGTGACCATCGTTTGGATCGGCTTTGGCGGGTGCATGCTCGCTGCCACCCTGGAACCGAAGCGGTTTCTTTTTTCCGGGTCTCTCAACTGGGGAACGGCGGTCGTCAACGGGCTGTTTGGCCACCTGCTGCCGGCGGTTCTGGCCGGTTTTTCCTACAACCCCGGGACGGTCCAGTCGGCCCTCATGGTGCCRCTGGGGCTCTACCGGGTGGTTGTCTCGGGGAGGCCGGGGCTGTGCCTCGCCCACGGGATCGCCACCCACCTGGTGCTTATTGGCGCGGTTCGGTTGGTCTATCGGTACCACACCGACGAGACGGCGACGATGGTTGCCGCGATGCTCGCGGCCTGCCCGGGCCTGACGCTTGCTGTCTCGAACCGCGTTTCGAGACCAGGCGGCACGGCGGTCGAGGGCAAAAAGCAGGAGCACAAGCTCCAATGAACCACCACGCGCTACGGGGCGATGGGATTCGATGCGCCCGGTGGACGACGCTGCGGTCTGTATCTGTTGCGGTGAGGAGCAGCAACAACGAATGAATGAATTCAACCGATTCGAACCAGAAGCTACCCTGATCCGACGAGGGATTTTGCAATCGAAACCTGAGAAAACCGTGCGCAGACGGTTTCGACCCGAGGAGGATGGAAACGCAACTGCATTTGTACTGCAAGCTGCAAGGAAGTCTTTGGATTGCGAAGAGATATGAAGGAATTTGTGTCCAGGACGGATATGGAAAAATCTAATGAATAATCGAGACTGATGGATTCAACGCCATCGGAGAATGGTAAATGAACCGGCTTGAAAGAAAGCAAAGAGCCAACGAAAGGTCGTCGATATTCTACACTTAGTCTGTGGCATCATTCTTGCTGTGTTTATAGTTACCAATACTATTAGACAATCGTCGAGTCTCACTGCGTCACGGGAACTTCTTCTTTCAAGCACGTTTTCGATTGATTTGATTTCTACCACTGCTATCAAAGTAGTATTAATAGTGATTCACTTGTTTGGTACAGAACTCTTTTTCAAACAGATCAACTTTCAGCGGTTTATACGAAGAGAGGAAGAATGATCCCATCCCCACACTGCCGGATTCCATTGTTACCAATGTTCTCAAAGGCGATCAATATTCTACACGTAGTCTGGATCATCACTCTTGCTGTGTTAATGATTTTTACGTAATTCTATTAGACAATTGTCGAGTCTCCTCTCTGGGAAGTTCTTCAATCAAGCATGGTTTCGAACCCTGTTTGTGTAATTGTGACACGTGCAATGATCAGGAGTTTAAAAATTTCCTTGCCCTCTTCGAATAAGAACTGGCGGTTGTAGCATTCAATAGGTACAACAGCAGTCGTTCCTGTTCTTGATGCAGCAGACAGACAGCCGCTACTAGTAGTAATAGTAATAGTACTAGTAGTAGCAGTAAACAAAATTTATTTGCTTCCATGTACGACCCTCCTCTTTTTCTGAAAATCTTCAAGGAATGCCAAGAGGAGCTCGTGCAACATGTTGTCTTGGGTTATGACCAAAACTTAAGGCTCCAAAGCACCAAGAGCTACAACATTATTGACGTTTGGACTGACCTCGGCTGACATGGACGTCTGTAGTTTTTACTGCCAGTAAATATGTACTTCGTACTAGAAAGATGATAGGTACCGTACCGGTATGTATCGTACTGTACGTTAAATTCGAGCACAAGAAACGCATGACGGCCAGACATTTGAAAAATGTTTCTTCCGGAACCGCATGCATTTCCCGCAGCCGTAAAAATATCCAAAATCTTGGTGAGCCCAACTTGGGTTCCGGTATATCCTTTTAGTATCTGTCTACGCTACCGTACAGTTCCTACTGTGCGGTACCTGGTACCGGTATGATGCAAAATTTGTTTCCATGTACTGTACTGATGCCTGCGATCACACTGTCGTGACAGGCGGACAGAAAAAAATGAGAACTCGTGGTTTGGTACCATACCGGCAAGTAGATGTCACGAAACCCTTGTCTCTAAACAACCTGCCGTTTTGTTTGGTTTGTGTCATCCTCCCTCTTAACTGAAATTATAAACTCGAACCCATCTTCGAGCAATACTAGAAAAAGAAACTAGTGCAATTCATCCGCACCGCTCTCGTCGTGCATTTGTTTCAGCGGCGAACCAGAAAGTAGCAACGGAAGAGAGGAGTCCTTAACAGGACAGTACTAACCCAACAAGGCAATTGCGAGAGGGTTGAAGAAGGGTCGAGTGTTGTATAGTTAGCGCTATTTGCGAGATTGGCTTCCGTTCGAAGAATCTATCTTTTTTGCGATCTGCGGCTGTTCCTATCGAAATACTGTATCTCGGTAGTGCCAAAGCTAGCTACGGTGCCTCGGAGATTGTGTTTCCTTTTGTTTGGTTTGGTGGGGATTGATTTGATCTGATTCCAACGACGACAGCGTCTTTGCATCGAATGCCAAAAATGACGGCAAACTCCGAAGCCGAGACACCGGCAACGAACGGCGACGGTGTTGAAAAGAGCAATCCCGCTATCGTTCCTTCCCAAACAAGTGCACCATCGAACAACAACAACAACAACAACAACAACGCTGCTGCGACGTCGTCATCGTCGTCGGGAACCAAGGCATCCTCGGGCAGCGGCAAGGGCAACCATGCTTCGTCGTCGGCGAAGCCCCCGATGCCCAAGCCCGAGGACGTGATCAACATCAACGTGGGGATTCTGGGGCACGTAGACTCTGGGAAAACCTCCCTGGTGAAAACCCTTTCCACCCTTTTGTCGACCGCCGCCCTGGACAAGTCGAAGCAATCGCGGCAGCGAGGTGCGTTGCGTCGCGTGTGGCGGGCCTGCTTGTTTGCCAGTGTTCGAGTTTCCCGCGTTGACATTCGCTTCGTTGGGCATTCATTGTGTCTCGGTTTGGTTTCTCCTTGCGATGTGATGTGACAATATACATCTGCGTCCCTTTGTTTGTATGCCTCGATGGCTTTGTGGTGATCGAAAGTGCCATTGGGCCATGGGATGTGATTCTTGGATTCCGTGTTGGACGACAATGCGTGGCGGTCAAACGCAAGAAACAATCGTTTTGTGTTCGAAACAACATGCGTTCTCACCCAAACGACTTGCGCTTGTGCATTGCATTGTATCACGTTTTGTGTCATACCGCCACATTGCTATGCTATGCTTTCTAGGAATGACACTGGACCTAGGGTTCTCTTGCTTCTTTATGGACCTGCCCGATCGATTGAGAAAGCAGCTGGAAGACAAAAAATCGAGCGGGAGTTCCAAAACACCGAAAGCAACAACCACCAATGCCCCTAAATATCTCCAGATGACGCTGGTAGACTGCCCCGGCCACGCATCGCTGATCCGAACCATCATTGGCGGAGCCCAGATCATCGACGTAGTCCTGCTTGTTGTCGACGCCTACAAGGGCTGGCAGGCCCAAACGACCGAGTGCCTCGTCCTAGCGGAGCTGACCGCCCCCCACATAGTAGTCGCCCTCAACAAAATCGACATGTTTCCGAAGGAAGAACGGGCCGAGCGCTTGGCCGAGGCGAAGGCCAGGGTCCGGGAACGCCTGCGCCACTCGAGCAAGTTTTCGGGCCGCGAGGTCCCCATGATCGGGGTGTCGGCCTGCACCGGCGGAGAAAAGGTGGCGGCGGTGCGGGGGGACGAGGGCAGCGGTGCCTCGGCGTCGGCGGGATCCGCCAGCGCGCACGATCTCGTCAAACAGCAAACCATCAATGTGGACAAGCTGATCGATCTTCTGAAAGAGACCATGCCRGCGCCACGAAGGCACCTCTCGTTCGAATCCGGCAGCAACAGCGGCAGCGGCAACAGCAAGGCGGGCAATTTCTATTTCGCTATCGATCACTGCTTCCCGATCAAGGGAATGGGCACCGTGCTCACGGGCACCTGCCTCAACGGATCTGTTAAGGTCAACGAAATGATCGAGTTTCCCTCCCTGGGTAACCTACAGCGAAAGATCAAGTCGATGCAGATGTTCAAGCGAAAGACAAACGCCATCCAGCAAGGGGACCGTGCCGGTATCTGCGTTTCCAACTTCGACGCGTCCTCCCTGGAGCGGGGGATCTGTGCCAGCCCTGGCAGCGTCCGATGGGTCAGCGGGGCCATTGCACTCGTTCGGAAAATCGTTCCCCACTACAAGGGAGCCTYTCTCAAGAACCGGGCCAGGTACCATGTCAGCGTTGGCCATTCGACGGTCATGGCAACCGTCACCTTTTGGGGGGCTAAAGAATTGTGGACGGAAACCCAGAAACTAGCCGCTGCGAGGAACCAGAGCAAGGAGGGATCGCGAGCAGCAACAGGAACAGAATCATCAGCCACGTCGTCTTCCGAAACAACCGCCACAGCCTGCTTGGGGGGAGATGCCGATCAGGCCGGATTGCCTTGTCTGGAGTTCGACTGGAAGAAAGACTACCTGTTGCAAGACGGATTGCTAGATAGCCTCCCGAATGAAAGCATCGACTTCCCKGGGGAAACAAAAGACCAGAGTCAAACCCACAGCACGCACGGAGCAAATGGAGGGACAAATGGTAGCAGCAACACAGTCAACAGCGGAGGAGAGCAAGAAGCTCTGCTGCACTGGGCGATACTGGATTTCCAGACACCGGTGTACTGCCCGCTCCAATCATTGGTAATCGGCTCTCGTTTGGATGCTGCGGTGGAGGGAAACAGCCACCGCCAGCAAGGCGGCAAGAGCAGCAACAAGAACCACGGCAAGAATAACAGCAATGCCAAAGGCGGCGGGGGCAACCACAGCACTGGAGACGCCGACGGCGACGATTCCGGAGGCGACAGCGCATCTTCCTGCCGCCTTGCCTTCTGCGGTCGCCTCATCGAGCGGGTTGACCCGAAGGAAGACATCAAAAGGATACGCTGGTACACACCCAAGGAAAGGCGGGGACTCGTGTCGCGCCTCGGTGATCCGCACAAGCGTCAGGACGATGGGAAGACGGTCCGATATGAATTGTACGGCGGGGACCTCTTCAAGAAGGAGACCCTGCTGAGGCCCTTTCTCGGCATGAAGCTCGTGACCCACCCAGGGGGGGACGTCGGAGAACTCCAGTCGGGCTTTGGGACGTCGGGGAAGTTCCGTGTCACCTTTCCGGCCGGGACCATGGCGCGGGAGGGAGACGTCCTTCGTCTACCATTCAAGCGGTTTCTGAATGATCCCGAAAAGAAAATGCGCCAAGACGACATCTTGTTGCCGGCCGCCCGGCAGGGAAGCCGCATTGATCCACCAAAGTCGTCTGGCAGCAAAAAGAAAAGGGTCGAATCCACGGGAACGGTTGACAAGGTCAAGGGGGATCCATTGCCGGAACCTCCGCCACCGAAAGGTGGGGCAAACAGCGACAAAAAGAAAAAGAACGTCACGAAATATCCAACAGCTATAGTATCGGGGCTGTTCACCCCCGATATCGACATCCGACTAATGGTGGGTCGCAAGATATGGATTTCTTCCACAAGAGAAGAAGGGGTCATAGCCGGACCATTTGGAAAGGCCGGAAAGTGCAAGGTTTCCTTTATCGACAGTGGCGACGATTCCTCTTCGTCGTCGTCGACTTCCACAAACCTCAGGGGCATTTCCGAGCAAGCGGTCGGAACCAAAGCCGAGCTCCTGAAGCCGTAACGTAACTGTTCTTATTCTCGCCTTAAACCTTCGGGTGTCCTTTCTCGCTCGCTATCGCCACCCCCGATAAATAGTAAATTAGAATCCGATATGTTCAATGCCGTATTCACGTGTTTTTTATCATAGTTGCGCATGAAATTATTTATTTTTCATATATATGATATTTCCTCATCTATCCATGTTAACCCCCGTCTATCCATGTTTGTGATGGCCGAAGGATATTTCAAATTGGAGCAAATCGTTGGAATTGACTGCGTTTAGTTGATAGAGTGAATTCCAATGCTTCGCTAGCTCGAGTGCCTCTATTGGAAGGAGGGCGGTATTTTGATAGTTCCTGCCCTCTATCATCAAAGATGATGATTCGGCGTTTAGATTTGTGCTACAAAATTAGAATAGTTCTTGCTTGATGAACTTCTGTGAATCCATGTGGTTGYAAGTGGTAGAGACCACCATCATTCGCYTCTGGGACAAGAACATTCGAATTTCTACAACAATCAGACAGCAACAATTTTGACACACCAGCAAGAATATAATCATTCGTATTCTTTGTTTCGGAAAAGGAGACGGAGAACTACATTTATTTTTGGTGATTTTTTTCACATGGTACGTACTGTGTCGATTGATTAATTTTAATGTACAGTAAGTAAGAGTTGTATTGCCGGAACATCCGTTCATTCCATTCTCGGTGTTTATGCAATACGAAGCATCTCTGTGCTCTCTCCTTTCGTGTTGTGTTCCGCTGTGTGTCGGAATAGTTTGGTTCGGTTCGATCCCCTTCGCCTGATGGCTCGCTTCATTTCTGTTCGTACTGTGTTGCTTCCGTTCGTTGCTCACGACCATAGCTCCTGGACAAACCGTCCCTCGCTGGATAGTTTCGACAAAAAGTTCGCGGCGTCGTCCTGCGACATGGACCCGTTGCTTTCTTCGACAAGGATCTTCTTCAGGGTTTCGGTCACGTCGTGTCCCATCTTGACGCCACCACACACAAACACGTAGGCCCCCTGTTCTTTCAACAGAGTGTAGGTGGAGGAGGCGTTCTTCTTCAGCAAGTGCTGGACGTATTCTTTCTTGCTGGGGTCCTTTCGCGAGAAGGCGAGATAAAGATCGTTCAGGAYTCCACCGGACTTGTACCCTTCAAGCTCGTCGCGGTAGATGTAATCGAGATCCTCCCTCTTGCATCCAAAATAGAGCGCGTTGTACATGTTTTTGGCTCCCTCCTGCTCGGACTGGTGCTTTCGGTCCTGCAACAGGGCCCTCATGGGGGCGATCCCGGTTCCGGGCCCGATCATCAAGACAGGGGTGCTTAGGGTCGAAGGCAGCCGGAAGGTGGAAGGTCTAACAAATACCCGAAGGGATTGGTTGAGGCCTTGGGCAATGTGAGTCGAGCAGACACCCTCAAAGAGGCTTCCATCGGGCCTGTTCTCCCTGGTGACAGCAACCGTAAGATGGATCGAGTTCGGGTGGACCTTAGGGCACGAGGCGATCGTATAGAACCGCGGGAGTTGGAATCGGCAGACGTTTCCGATGAGGTGCTCGAGAGGAATCTCCAGAGAGGGGCAAAGCTTGAGGATCTGCGCGAGCCCGATCTTGCCCTCGACGATTTTTTCCTTGTATTCCGCCTTGCCGTCCTTGGAGGAAAGACGCTGTAGGGCCTTTCGGTCGACCGGATCCTTGGCGTAGGAGCTCAGGAGCTTTAGGTCTGACCGGCGGGGAGCCGAGGTAAGGTCAAGGTAGCGCGTAAGGCACTCCCGAAGGGTAATGGGCGAAGGGAAGGGAAGCCCGTGCCACTCGTGTTCCTCGCCATCCTGGTTGACCCCTTTTCCGAGCGAAAAGRCCCTGTCCAGATCCTGTCCAAATCCGAGCGCCTCTGCCACCTCTTCGACCACCTCCGGAGCGTTGCACGGTAAAACGCCGAGGTTGTCGGCAGTTTTGTAATCAAGGTTTTTGGCGTCCGAAATGTCGATTTCGACATGGACCGTCGAGCCACCGTCGCTGGGAGATCTGAGCTCCTTCACGACGGTGACGGGGCAGTCGACCGCGGTAAAATAGTGCTTGGAAGATCCGTAGACCGTGTCGAGTGGAACCGAGGCGCGATTGGCGTCGGAATCGGGCCCGGTCGARGCCTCCTCCTCCCAGCTGACGGTGTATTCGCAATCCGGGAGGCTGAGCTTGCCGTCTTCCGCAGACGTGGGCAGGAGAGCCCCTTCGTTCACGTAACGCTTTTTAAGAGTGGCCCACAAACCGTCCTTCCATTTTTCAAAATCTGCTTCCAAATCGTCCGAATCGTCTCCGAGCCCGAGGTTGTACACCCTGGTCCCACCGAGTTTCTCCATGGCAGAATCAAAGAACTTGCCCATGGCATTGAAAATCTCGTATTCGGTGTTTCCAAGCCCAAAGACAGCGTATTCCAAGCCCAGCAACGGCTTCTGGGGTTCCTCTTCCTCCTCGTTGGCGGCCAAAATGTCCTCCATCTGGTTGAAGAGCTCCGTCGCGTTGTCCGTAGGTTCGCCCTCACCGTAGGTCGCGGCCAAGACAACGGCCCTGGGCGTCTCGTCGGGTTTGCTGTCGGCTCCAAAGGGAGACCTGGATTCAAAGTCTGCCATGTGTTCCGGCGATTCCAACTCTTCCGCATCCTCGATCTTGACGAGGAATCCGTGGTCCTTAGCTTCCCGCTCGAGTTCCTTGGCAAAGGACTCGGCCGTTCCGGTCTGGGTGGCAAAGTAGACCGTCAGTTTTCCTCCCGGATATTTGGCGCGATCGACGGTGTTGCTCTTTCCCGCGCCAGACGACGCAGCCTGCTTGTTGCTTGTCGCGGCTCTGCGGTGCGGTAATTCCAAAACCAAGGGCGAAATTGGCATTGAAAAACACAAGTAGCGAAAGCCATGGCGACGACGATGGGCAAAAATTGATTGAGTGAGTCCATGCATGGCCCAAATATGGAAGATGTTACGGCAAGCCTCGCCCATGCCACGCCATGCTATATGTGCCGTCCTTACCTGCTCTTGGATTCGCTCTTGACGGCGAGAAGGGCTCCGAGCAATCCAAGGGTCACGCATCCCGTCGTGACCACGACGGCAACCAAATTCTCCGCCAAAAACGACATGGGAGAATCTTCGTCCATCACTCCCATTGTGGTCTCGTTGTCCATTTCGTATCTATGCTGCTTGGTACAAGTACTTTGCTTCTACAGGAGTTATTCTTTCGGCGTTGCGATTCGTTTCTAGAGAGGGATTTTCGAAACGGAGGTGACCGGTGTTAAACGAAGATAATTATGCTCTAAAAGATGTGGTTTTCGTTTAAACTAGGAACGAAATGCACTCTAGCGGTGCTGCGGGTTGAGCCGACTCGTTCCAACTCAGAGGAAACAAACAAGGCGAACTGAATAAATGTAGCTGCCTGGAACACARAAGAGGCCTTCTACACATTGAACTATGATTCTTGAATTTACCAAAAATAGCATTTGAACTTCATATGCAAATTCTCTCTTTAGCGAATTTGTACGGACTGTACTGTAATAGTTTGGACAACCCCTGTTCTACTTCTCACTTATTGCAATTCCATTTTGGGATTTTCAGGGTTATCATTGAGTTCTTCTAGCTTCCTTACTTCCTTGTAGCACATYAAATCGGCAATAAGATCAATCAATTTTACTGCAACACGTACGTTTTTGGTTTTCAGTCACTCTGCGTCAGCGGCAAGTGCACAACATGAAAAGCTGCTGCATACTGTTACGGAAGTATATGGCGYACGTGGAGCACCTCAGCCAAAAACTTCAACCGTAATAACTCGTACGGTTGTCCTACGGCGCACGTATTATCGTACGTACTCTTGCTACCAGTATCCTTGAGTTAGGTACCGTACCGTGTACCCCACACGCCACTAACAATACGAACCAACATTTTTCGGCTTCCATAGTACGGTACGGTACGTACAGTAAGTACCAGTACTAATCATTCAAAAATTAGAACTACTACTGACATCATATCATCCTTGTTGACCCTCCAGTGTAACCATCAACATTAAGGATGCAACAATCCACTGAGTGCCACTGGAGATTAGATGTAGAACTGATTTAATGTGTTTCAGCACTAATGGATAAGTTGAAGAGTATGTACCCAACTGAGAACCCACTACTAGTAATCCTGTCACAGCACCCACCATCAGCATCATGTGTTTTTACTACTAGTAGTAGTAGCTAGTGGTTATCATGGGTGTGGTGGGTCCTCCCAAGCTCAAGGTTTTTTGTCAGAACTGCCACGTGTCCCTTGATTGCTGGACCCAGTGTCCCATATTCTACAGCGCCAAATGCAACAGAAAAACAGGTGCCATTACAGCATTTCTTGCCAAACTTCTGACCCATCTTGCCGAGAGTCATATTATCATGTTTCTTTGACTAGTATTACTATTCTCTATGTGGGGACAGTGTCAATGATTACCACAGCTCTTCTCTTTACAAAATCACTCAGGACAAGGAGGATATTAACAGACAATTTTGATTAGCCAATACTAATAACAGTCACGCAACAAGCGGTATGATGCCAGCAGAAAATCTCAACTATCAAGTGATATAACCCATCTGTTGAAGTCGCCGATCAATGCCTGATTGATTCAGAAATGAATGTTGTCAATTCCGATCTTGACGATGATGTGCTCACATTTGACTCTGTCCAATGCACCCAAGATACAGCAGACACAAACACAATAGTACTAATTACCCCCTCAGCAACCAGGTTTGTTTGTGCTCCAACCAAAGTGAAAATAAAACTAACAAAGATCATGCATGAGAGACCACAATATACCGTTAGTCACCGAGAGGGAACTTTACAAATGGGCAATTGAATCCAAGAGTTTACCTGGATTCACTTGGAGCACTGATAACTGGTGTTTAATACACCAAGAAACCCAACAAAAGGTTTTGGAGCAATGCTAGCTACAAAATAGCTCCCAAACTTCGTGGTGATCATTTTGAACCACATCTTCTCTGTTTGGCAGTCAAGCAACAGTGTTGGTCACAAACAAACATATTTGAGGTCATTCCAATATGTGCTACATTCCCTACTTACTGATGTGTCTTTGATCAAGGAARAGAATCATTCTGTTCCCAACCAAAGATGCCCTACCTCACCCTGGCGTGACCCTGAACTCACAGAAGACACTCTTATTTGTGAACGCCAGCATCATGAGCAATGGTGGTCGGAAACATGGAAGGATAAGTGTGTTTCATGAGCTTGACTTTGGTGTGAAACAACAACATACCRACACAGGATCAACCTATGGCTACCCCATTGATGATCTACATGACAATGATGAGGATACCACTATCTTCACAGTCAAAGGARTGAACACCTAAAACCAAAATGACAACAACAACAATGACGCAACCAACCACAATAACAAGAATAATCAAACAAGTGCATCCAATGACAATCATGCATATGACAGTGAGAGCTCAACTAAAAACAACCAAGACAACAACCCAACAATTACAGAAGTGGTTGATAAACACCAGTTGAATGACCACATGCTTATGCATCTACTTGAATGGGACCATGTGTGCATTGCATCAACATTGTTCTTTAATTGTTTGATTGAGTCTCTCTGCTTCTGGTACATGTTCATCCAGTGGTGAGACACAATTGAGGTCAATTCCAATCTTTGCAAGATTGTGGCTGCATGGATGAAMTTGTCCATCAGCTACTAATATGTGTTGTACATAAAATCCCCTTTTCTTAATAGAATTTGTTGAGGGTTGCAAGGGTAGTATTCACAATTTGGTTTGTTTTCATAYTCAGCAGGGCACTGGCATTGTGGTAGTGTATATGCCGTGATGTGGTGGTCAGGAACGGTATTCTATTTATATGATGCATTATATTGATTGATATGATCACATCTTGATAGTTTTCACAAACATGTGCTGGTAATGGTATTATTTCAGTTCCAACTTGCCCCTTCTTTTGCTAAGTTGTTTTGCCTTCTAATCCAGGGATGCTGGGCCCAAAGATTGCTTTCATCAACTGTACATCCTGTGGTGTAATTGGTATGTTCTTTAGTTGGTTCTTGGTTACCACCTGCATGAACTGTTGTTCACTTCAGTGTCCAGCTGTGTGATGGAATATTTCTTGTGCACGTTCAGCTCATTGCACGTCTTGCTTTTAGTGTTGTTGTTTGTTTCCTTCGAGTRTTTTCACTATATCATGGTCTTGGTTTTGAAGTACAATAACTCTCTTTGGTTTGTGTCAATATCAGTGAAGTGTGATGTGAAGTCAGAGTAATAAAGTCCTTTCTTTGAGGGGATGAATTCTCTGCAGGCTCCATCTGGTTTATCATACTATAGAGTTGGCTACTACTAGCAAATCTACAATCCAGTCATAGTTTTGGGCSCTTATTTGTGTGTGTAATGACTACTTTGACTMAAATGTACAAAATACACATGCTCGGTATTAGTGTTGAATTCTAATCCCACCAGTCGTGTGACCAAATATTTTTGTGCACGTGCTCAACTGACAATTTTAGTAGCTTCAAACACATGCAAATTGTTGCTTAGTCAAAGTAGTCATTACACAGTGAAAAGATAGCCCAAAATCCACGCACAGTACAAAAAACATGTAGAACATTAAGAGAGGCTCAACTCATGCTAATTCTTGCATGTTTCATTGACTACATGCTTGCATCTGTGAGGAGTTGCAAAGTTAGCTCCTGTTTGCTCTCATACAGCACATAGTAGCAGCATTTCAAATTCTTAGYAGAAGTAGTCAGCTACTATCTCTTGATCATCACATTGTCAGAAGTTGAGTATCTTCTTTTCTGCAAAGAAGCTCTGTAGTAGCATGTAGTAGCATTTATCTTGGATTTGGTTACCATCTTGTTGTAGTTCTCCTGTGCCTTGTTGATCTTCAGTCCATGTTCTTCAGTCCTGTGTTGCATTGATCCCATAACACRATATATAGTTTGACGAGGTTATYATACACTTTGTCTTGTGCATCGCCATTGTATTGCTCATAGTTCATTCTCCATTTGTTGTCTAGTTCTTCCACCAAGAAGAAAGAAGGGCTTAGTTTCTTCTTATGTTCCGYAGCAGTGTATTCTTTTGGTTGGTTGTTCTTGTTGGTGGCAGTAAGTGAGATCGTCACCTTGTTGAAAGACTTTAAGGATTATACATCTATCGGTAAACAAGAAATTGAGAGCTTGAAAGTATAATTCAGAATTCTCTATCTTCAACACTTGTTGTACCGGTATTACAACAACAATAAGAACAACAACAACAAGTAGTAGTAGAAGCAGTAGAAATACTACCGGTACTACGGTACTCGAGAGCATTTGCAAAAATGTAAAATGTTATACTACGCTCTATGGATATTGAACATACGTTAATAAACGTACATACCCTACTCTCTGCACTCTGCACTCTCTACCGTACCGCACGACATGCTCTATCTATTCTGGTTCTTCGTATGCTGGATGGTTGCCGATGGCCGATGACCAAGGGGTTCSGCTTCCCGATCCATATATATACTATTATACTGATATGAATAATATATAAATCAATATTTGCGCCTTGTCAAAATGTTTGTGGCTCCCGTTTGTWCGTACACAACGGGAATCACAACGTTAGGTATTGTAAATCGGCAGAGTCGGTCGAGCGGGCGGTTTGTTCTACTCGTCCCCAGCTACAAAACGTCTGCTTGAGGGCACGACTGACTCGCCCGCACCTTCATTCACCCGAGACAAACAGGCATCAAGAACTACTCAAGTAGTAAAAACAAGAAGCAACATTTCAACAGCGTAGAAAAGTGATGAATTTCCTATCGGAGATCTCAATACACCACTTTCTTTTCCTCCATAGCCCCTGTTGATAACCATCTGATACACACAAGGACCAAAGAACAATCGCATCGAGAAGCTGTAACAGTCTAGATTAGAAGCACCAGGTCCCGTTCGCGAACGAAACAAGAGACAGACATACCGTACATTCCCTGCCAGCAGCAACAACAAAACAAGAAGAAATAGCACCAAACCCAGCAATCAAAGCAGGACAGAAATTGCCTGTTTTGTTTTTTACCGCTGCTGCTTGCGGAAGTCTTCAACAAATTCAATTCCGAATCCAAATTGACTCATTAGGTTTGATCGATCGATCGATMAATCCATCAATCCATCAACCCATTCATCGAACCTCCTACAAAGAATAATAGAATCCTATTGGGAAACATACCGCACCCGATTAGAAGGATTATTTCTGGAGTAGAAAGGAACCAAAGCAACAACTGCAAAACATCGGATAATCCTAAGCCGYGATATACGTGACGATYGATCCTTGGCATTGTGATTGGCAGTATTAGTTTTGTAGCTTGTGCCCATTTGAATTAYCACAGTGGCCAAAAACTTCCAGACTAGAAGCACACAAMACAAATATACACCTGTTCAATACAATGTCGTCTTCTACCAGCGCCAGCGACACATCCGACGTTACGGAGACCATCACCAAATCCAACATCGWCGACATTGTGGAATCCCTTTACAATAACCAAGATGAGCTCATCGGATATTCCTGCAAGCAGATAATGGAGAAAAACACGGTCGAGGAGATGGATCTGGTCTTTTACATGGACGTATTGAGCCCAAAGGACGACGAGAGCGGCAACAGCGACACAAACTACCAGCTAGCCGCAATCGATGCGACGCAGTCGGTCGTGTTGGAGGAAGTTGCCCTGGAATACCAGATCGATCCCGACATTTCAAGGGGGGTCCGGTGCTTCGATCTACCCGTCGACGGATCGACATGGCTGGTGCAGATGTCGATCGAGAAGAAGGACTTTGTTGAGGTTACAATTTTTGGTACGTGTTTGTCCTCGTTCGCKGCTATTGCTGTTACATACTAAGTAGTGCGTTTTTGTGTATTTGGTAATCTATTGTCCCGTATGCTTGGTTTGCAACATTCGATCCCCAAAGACAATGGATCATTTCTTTCGTATTTCAGTTGGGCTCGGTTCAGTTCTGTTCGATTTTATTTGATTTAATGTGATATGCACTAACTTGATTTTATTTCACATTCGATTCGATATGATTGATATGCGCCCTACTGTTAAAGGTGGTTGCCGGAAATTGGAGTGGGATGATGCAACGCAGGACTGTAATTTTTATGAAGCCCGCCTCAAGGGATCTTACATCGGTGCCGTTCCTGTAGCCGACGACGGAACCGAATTTTCCGATGTCGTGGGCTTCTTGAAGTCCCTGATCAACGGTCCCACTATAGTGGACAACCTAAACAACAATGGCGACGGCGGAAACGGCTTGGACAACATTTTTGGCCAAAATGCGGCGAGCGACGCCTATAAGATGGCCTTTCTGGGGGTCCCCCGGGCAGAAACGAACCCCAACTTCCAGGCCGAGGAGGGTCGAAACGACCTTAAGCCACCCGTCAACATCAAAACAGGCATTGATGCGAGTCAGAGCACAGCTCAACCCAACCGCAACACCATTACTGTGGTAGGGGGGATGCTAGTGGCCTGCTTCTCGATTGCCTTTTTGATGGTGGCATACATTCTCGTAAAGCGCCGACAGTCCTACCGAAATGAGAGGAACGAGGATGAGGAAGAAAGGAGGAGCGCGGAAATATCGATGGCGATGGCCTCGGGAGCTTCCGCCGGGAACTTTCACCTCGACACGGTGGACAGAATCGACCGCAACGACGAATACAATCACGCTGACGACGACGGTTATGGGTACGACCGCAATGATTATGACGATGACAACGATGGCGATGACGATGATGATATTCGCGAGGACCAAGCCGGCGGTGGACGAGAGATGGATCCAGAGTCCTTTCGGGACGACGATGCCGGTCCAGAAATGCAGCAAAACCACCTTCAGCACGAATCTTTAAGGTCCGCACAACGACCGCAACAAGAATACGGYGACCATCCCATGTCGGCCGAAGCCATCCAGATGGACTTGGGGAATACCCTCAAGGGCCAGATGATTGGGTTGCACGGAAACACCTCGAAGAAGGTCCTCCCCATGTGTGGCCCTTCAACGCGGGGAGGAAACGGAGGCAACCAACACAAGGTGCAACGTCTCGGGARCCGAAACGCTGGGTCCTTCTTCCACCAGCTCAGCGACGACGGAGACCACGATTCGTTCGACGACTCGGAYTCGTGGGCCCAAACTGATGGGACCATCGGGTCGCTGGAACTCCAGCTAGAACCCATCACCGCGGAGGTATAGTTCGCAAACATACATTCTATACTTTGTTCATACCACATCGGTACTACCGTTGTGCTCAATGCGGCAATAAAGGCAACATACTTTGACAGGAATGCTGCTCAATGTGCCTCGTCGGAATTCCATTGTGGCGCACATCCTATTTTGTCTATCAATATGATGCGATGTTAAGCTCTTTCCGTTTGAATAGTGTGTGCA